TATGTAAGTTTTAGCTTTTTAGATGTTGGACAATGAATACAAACTTAAGTGACATAGTGGCAGGCCACTAATGCCTCTGCAGGCTGCTTCAACCCACAGCTTCATGTGGCCTGTGATCTCTGAGATGATCAGTGACTCGGGGCCAGAATTGACCCTTCTGGAACCTGGTTCTTGATCCTTGAGGAAGGACAGTAACTCCTCCATAGGCTCAATGGCAGAATGAGGCAGCTCAGGGCTTGTGAAGAGCCATCATAGGCCTGGTCATCCTGGGTCTTAGCCCACCCCAACCTTAAGCCAAGCAGCTACCCAGTTGCCCCCATGGTCCTGCCTTGGCCTTGCCTCAGGTGGTCCAGGAAGACTGAGGGCACACAGCCAAAAGGAAGAGCAGGCAGGCCCCCGATGTGGGGGTCCCACACCACTCAACACCTGGTTACCAAAGGCCAAGACTGAGACATCCTTTGTGACCACTGCCATTTACAGAGCACTTGCTGTGCCCTGAGTTCTTTGACGGTCTCACACAATTGTCACAACCACCCCGCCGAGCATGCCTGACTATAACCCCAATTGTGGAGTGACAAGGCTGGGACTCAGAGAGCATGACCTTCAGGAGCTGGCACTTATTGGGCACATACTCTGTGCCAAGGGCCCTACATGCATTATTTCATGTCCTCCTCTGTAGCTGCTGTCCACAGATAACCCCAAGAAGCTGCTGGGGTTCCAGCCTTCCCTCACACCCTGCCCCATCATTTGCTCCTCATCAACAGAACACAGCAGAGGGACGCTGAGGTCTTCATACAAAACCCCTACAACCTCCACTTGGGTCGCTTGGAGCATTTGCTTGCTCTTGGGACACTGTCCCTAGGGACCAGCCTCCATGCTGTGAGCAGTCAGTCTGGTCACCAGTCACTGCTAGCCACTGACCACCAGCACCAGTTGCCATGAGGGGCCATCTCCCATGGATGGGAGCTTGGTAGTGGTCCCTAGGCAAGGGCCACCCAGCTGAGCCTAGCCAACCTATCAAACTATAAGAGGTCATAAATTTTGGCTTTAAGCCATAAATGTTGGGATGACATGTTGCCCATCAGAGGAGAGCCCTTGAGGTCAAATTGCATGGCCCCCTTTTGTTCTAAGGACATTGAGGCAAGTGACTTGGCCAATGTCCGCAGATGGTCAGGGTCAAGGTTGAGATCTGAACCTGAACTAAACCTGAACCTGAACAGACCACGTCCTCCCTGCCCGTTCAATGCCACTGGGCCCAGCAGATGTGTCAGGGTGAGACTTGAACTCAGGCTCAGCCTCCTGTCCATAGGGTCTTTCAATTTCCTGCAAAGACATCTCCCTCAGAAGCTGATACTCAACAGCCATGAAGCACCTCGCAGCCACTCCCCCCCCCCCACAAAAACCTGCAGCCCCTTACCCTCGTTCTTCCTGCTGAGCCTGCAGATGGAGGTCGGCTCCCTCCCCCACTAAGAGCCAGTCTCCTCACCAAGCCTGGGAGGGCCAGGGAGGCTCTGGGGCCAGAACTGTGACAAATGGCCTCACACGTATTAAACATGAGAGATGACAAGGTACAGCCCTGGCGAAGCCCCAAATGCAAGGGAAGAAAAATGGTACTGATCTGTCTTGTGGGGCTCAGCAACAGGGAGAAAGGGACAGCTGTGATAGAGGCCATACATGGCCTGACCTGTAATAAGACTGATGGAATTTGGGCCCCTTAGGAGATGGAGGGGACAAAGGAAAAGGGCAGGAGGCCCTGGCTTCCAGGGAAAGAAATAACCTGTGACAGACTCCAGCAGATTCAGCTGGGGACACTGAGATCCAGGGGTTCGAGGGGGAGAGAGACCTGGTGGGAGCAGACAGATTGGAACGCTGCCACTTAAAGATGTGTGACCAGGGAAGGTGACCCAACCTTTCTGAGCATCAGACACCACATATGCAACACGAGGTCACGAATTTAAATCTGCCATCTGCAGCAGTGGTGTAAGAACTGCATTTATGTCACACTCTGTTAGTGGACCATTGCACTGGGCACATCGTGCCAAGCCACACTGCCTGGGCTGCAATCCCGCCTCTGGCAGCCACCTCTGAGGTCTCTGGGCTCTAGAAATTACCTACCTGGAGCTCTGTTGTGATTCATGACACATCAATGCTCAGCACAGCCATCACATCACTCCTGCTGGGAGCGTGTCTAGCTCAGGGACACTGCCTCCCAAGGTCAAGGTCAAGGTCTTAGGAAGGAGTGTGCTGAGGGAAGGGTGGACAAAGGGTGCTAGAGCCAATTTCCCTGGTATTACTCTACTTATAGAAGACCAAGGCTCCTATTAACAGGTCAGGGTCCCTTTAAGGCAAATTCCTTTGCTTTTAAGAAGATAGAGCAAAACAGAGAGGGGGAGGGGCAGAGATGCAACAGCCTCCCCCATCCCCCTCACCCCCACCCCACTCCATCCCACCACCTGCTGGTCTGCAGAGGGTCTTTCTTCCTCCCACCCTTCCTGTGCCATTCTGACACTGTGCCCACCTCCAGCCTTTTGTACTTGCCCAGAGCACTCTCTTATTCCCAGTCTCCAAGCTTGTGGGCAACCTTCTTCCCCAGAACCCTCCTTGCCCAAAGCAGGGTCTGTGGACCTTCCTGTGTGCCCCACAGCTGCCTGTGAACCACCCCTTCACACACACACACACACACACACACACACACACACACACACACACTATTTATGGTTTGGAAGTGGCCCCCACAAGGACTCAAGGACCCAAGTTTGAGGATTGGTCCCCGTCTGGTAGATCAATCACTAAGAGGTGACTGGGGTCTGAGGGCCCTGACCTAATCAATGAATTAATCCACTAAGTGATTCATAATTGGATGGCATTGTTGGGAGGGGGGCCTGCCTAGAAGTGGGTCACTGGGGGTGTACCCTAGAAAGATGTGCCCTGTTCCTGGTCCCTAACACCCTCCTCCTATCTCAGTTTCCTGGTCACCATGAGCTGAGCAAGCTTTCCTCTGCCATGCCCTTCCACCATGATGTTTCTGCCTTGCCATGGGCCTAAAGGCAATGGAGCCAACTGACCATGGACTGAAATTGTGAGCCAAAATCAACCTTTCCTCCTTAAAATGGTTCCTCTCAGGTATTTGTCACAGCAATAAAAGGGCTGACTAACTTCCTCATCACAGGCAGGATGCAGAGGGTGGCTTAGTGGCTTTGTTCCTACCCACTGTGACAACACCATCTTGGCCACGACTGTATCTAAGAAGAATGGCTGTCCCAGAGGCTGTGCCCACTAAATGTGTTGAATGACCAATGAGCAAATGGTCCCCAGCCACCAGGACTGGACCTGGGTAGACCACACAGTGACATTGGAGGCCGTTGTCTTCCTGGCACACATTGTCTTGTCTGATAACAGCCCACTCCACCTCAACCACCAGTGGCCATTGGGGACTCTGCCTCCTTCTCTCTGTGCCCAAGGGTCAAGGTGGGGCCAACCCTCCAGACCATGTGACTCAGACCAAACCCATCAGAGTGTTCCCGTCTCCCCAGGGCCTCCATCACTGGCTCAGAGATGATCACATAACTTATGCTAAGCTAATCAAAGTCAAAACCAGGATTTTTGCTGGAAATATTGGAAAGAAACCCCATCTCTCCACTGGTTGTGCTGCATTTGGAAGATGCAAATCTACAACTGTGCATGGTGGGCCATCCTTGCTACCACTTGGGGAAAAGCTGCTCGAGAATGATGCCAACCCAAAGGGAAAGGCTGAGTTCTGGATGAAATCGCCTGATGTGCTGTATGCAGCTGTGCCTGAAGCAGCCATCGTGGCAGCTCCCCTGTCATCTATTTCATCATTCCCCATTTGAGAGCTTTGACCTCACTCCTAGCCTCACAAGTGGCCTGACTGAGCTAAACCAATGAGCTCACCACATTCTCTAGCTATGGTGAGCACTCAGGAGAGAAGAAAACGACCTAGGCCCTTCAAAGGCAAGCTCAAGTTTTCGGTTGATGTTGGAGAAAGAGAAGCCTAGCTTCCTCTGCATATGAAAGAGGAAATGGCAGTCTCAAGAGAGCTTGGTCAACACCAGGAGGGAGGCTGGCCCACAGACAGAGGTAATATGGTGGAGGGTGGAGCTCAGCCAATCACAGAAGGCAGAAGGCTAAACTTCCAGGCTATGAGCCAATGTGCCTCCTTCTTGCTTAGACACACTGGCTTGGACTTTTCTGTTATAACCCAGAGATACTAGCGGGTCCACCTGGACTTTCCCGTTATATATATGAATGCCTTTGTTCACAGTAACATGGGATTCCATTGCTCACCAGCAAAAGGACTGACCATTCTGCCTTTCCTGTGCTCTCTGCACCAGGGCCCTGGCTGGGACCCTCCTACCCTGCTGGACCACCCAGAGCCTTCCACAGCTTGCCAGCTTCCACCTCCACCTTCCAGAGCTGGCCTCTATGGCAGGGGTCAGCTAAGGGCCCGAAGGCAAGTGTTGTAGACCCAGTGGACCATTCAGTGTCTTGATGCTACTGTGTTGTGACAGCAGCCATGGATAAAACGCAGTGAGTGTGGGTGCTGGTCCAAAAAAACCTTCATTGATGGACACTGACATTCGAATTTCATATGGCACAAAATCTTCTAATTTATTTTCAAGTATTTAAGAATGTAAAAACCACGGGTGTGGTGGCTCACACCTGTAATCCTAGCTACTTGGGAGGCTGAGATAGGGAGGATCACTGTTTCAGACCAGCCGGGGAAATAGCTTTGCAAGTTGAAATCCTGAATTCAAACCCCAGTACCACCAAAAAAAAAAAAAAAAAAAAAAAGTAAAACCGTTGCTGAGTGTGAGGGCTGCCTAAAAAGTAGGTAGCCTTTGGCCCTACCACTCTAGGCTCTCCAAGTGGCCTTGAACTATGAGTGAGCTTCACCTTCTTTCCCACCCAGCCCACCTGAGTTGAGCACTGCCTCCCAGCATGCCTCAGGACTCTGGCACTGAAGGCCAAAGGTCACTCACCAAAAGGACCACCCGTAGTCCCACGAATGGGGTCTCCAGTCTTCGGGGCCGAGGCTCACGGTGACCTGGAACACCTGTGTGTACATCATATGTGCGACCATTCCCAGGAGGCCTGCAGGGCAGGGAGCAGAACAGGTGTCAAAAAGCAGGGAGAGGCCTTGTCTGTCACCCCAAGGACCCCTCGGCCACCTGCCAGCCTGTCTGTCAGTGCTGGAAGAAAAGGTGGACCTCAGGGAAGGGAGACCAGAGGGACAGAGTGGGGCAGCCAGGGGCTGGGCTTCAAAGTCAGGCCAAGGAGCCTGAGTTGCAGCCACCCAGCCAAGGGCAACCATGGGGAATTTAAGCAAAGGAGATGCAGGGTCTCCTTTCCTTCGGGAATGGCCTGGAAGGACCTGATGAGTGCATGTTTCAGGCTCTGGGGACCAGCTGGTCTCTGTTGCAACTACTCAACTCTGCTGTTGTGGCCCAAAAAGAAGCTGTAGGCAGTATGCCAATTCACATGGCTGCGTTCCAATAAAACTTTATTTACAAAAGCAGGCAATGAGCCAATTTAGTCGGAAGGCTGTAGTTGCAGATACTCATTAGAAACACTCTCTAGAGTGTTTTTCAAACCCAGGCCTTAACTCATCATAGTGGGCGGGGAAATCAATTCGTGGACTTCGATCTTAACTGACTTTAAAAAAAATAGAGTGGAATGGAATAGAAATACGTGGCACATCAAATGCAGCAGGAGTAACAAAACTTCAGTTCTGTGTGCGTGCGTGCGCACGCATGCAGCCGTGTGCGCGAATGTGCGTGCCTGTGTGTACACATGGGTGCATGGGTGCATGTGTACACGTGTAGTGACTAATGTACCCAGTGCGCACAGGCTTGGAGAACTTGGGTCTCAAAGGGTCTGAGTGTGAATCCTCTCCTGCCAAGCTTCCCATGTGACACCCCCTCCCCACCAGCCCCGTCCCTTGCCACAACCCGAAGGTAAGGATCACGGCAGATGTGGAGAGTTAGCAGTGACAACAGGCAAGGCAGCCTTGGTGTCGGTGTTGAGTGAGCGTGACATATTGCAGCCACGAGGACTGTGACAAACCAGGGCACTTCTCTGTGGGCTGGGGCTGTGGGCTGTGGCATCTGGAGACGCATGGGTGTCACGGTGCATAGCCCAACCTTAAGAAGAAGGGATACGGTGTTGGGGAGGAGGAAGGAGGAGATGGTGCGGGGAAGATGAAACCGGGATGCCTGTGACCCAGTGTCACGGCATTCAGTCAGACTCTTCCACTACACTCTTCTCTCTTAATCTGCAAAACAACCCTTTGCAATAAGTACGGTGATCAGGACCAGGAACTGTCACACACAGCGAAAGGAGCAGGCCCGCACAGTCCGTGTGTGCGTGGTGCCTGTGGTTGAGGCCGAGCCTCCCCTTCAGGGCCGTCCCAGCCCACTCACGGTGTGAAGGGCTCACCTGCATTTTGAAATACTCTTAAAATCCAGGCTCCTCACACACTGTCCAGTGTCCTTGTCCCTCCCCTCACTGCCCAGTCACCTTTACCCTGTTCCTGAAGAGGTGACAAGAGACTTAAAAGTGGTGAGAAGAGGAGGAGTGGGGAAGGACAGCCTGCATCCCAGTGTGTGGAGGTGACTATATAACACCTCGGGGGCAGGGGGACAGAAAAAGACGAAAAGAGAGGGAAAACCTTCACCATAGCGTTCGCCCACGCCCATGGTGTACATGTTCCCACTACGGGCAGCTTCGGGCCACCATGCAAAGTCCCCAAGAGCAGAACAGAGGAAAGATACGAGGTCCTCAGCACACCCCTCAAACTCCTACCCAGTCCACAGAGACCAAGGACTGAGGCTCAGTCTGTGTCTGTGGCTAATGACAGGCACTGGATCCCACGTCCTCACCACGATGCCATGCTGTAAATATTAACTTGGCCTGTCACCTGGAGAGGGCCACCTCAGTGAGGCAGAGACTTTTCCACTGTCCTTATTGCTAGCTAGTTTCTGAGGTCGTGTTTCCTCTGTTGTGGGCGCCACTCTGCATCCTTGGCCAGTCTTCCTTGTGTGAGTGTGGTTTTTTCTTTTTAAAATTTGATTTCCTTATGACTCAGCAGGAAGGAGTTCTTTGTGTATGCTTGATGCTAATCCTGTCTGCTGTATAAATGCAAATGGTTTACTGTTGCCCTTCCCCTGAAAGGCATTTTTTCCAATTAACAATTACTTTTTGGTGGTACTGAGTTTTGAACTCAGGGCCTCTGGCTTGCTAGGCAGGTTCTCTGCCACTTGAGCCACTCCACCAGCCCTTTTTGCTTTAGTTCTTTTGTCAGCTAGGGTTTCACGTCTTTGCCAAGGGCTGGGCTCAGGCCACAGTCCTCCTACCTACAGACTCCTGAGTAGCTAGGATCACAGATATGTACCACCGTGCCTGACTTACTGATTAAGATGGGGTCTTTCTAACCTCCTCCACCCCCAGACTGGCCTTCCATGGTGATCCTCCCGACTTCACCTCCTGGGATTACGGGCATGAACCATCATGCTCAGCAGCCATAAGCAGTAGTCTCTGGCCTGGAAGGACAGAGACTATATTCCTGCCCAGTGCGCCTTCCCTGTGGAGCTGCTGCCTGACTAGAAGCCATGCCCCCAGGCCGGGCCTCGTCCCCTCCCCTGGGCTCTGCCAGCCTTTTTCCTGAGGGCTGGTTTTGCTGTCCACATTCTCAGCTATCGAGGCTTCTTCAATGTCTTCCTCACGAGGCTGAGGAATTCTCGGATGCATTTGGAGTTATTTGGCCTCTCAGTGCCTTGGTTTCCTCATCCATAAAATGGGTATCGTAGGCAGGAAGTTGCAGTGAGCACCCGGATTGGAACCAGCATGCCTTCAATTATTAGGACAGCGGAGGCCAAGGGCACGCATCTAAAACCCCCAGCTGCGCCCAGAAGCTGGACCCAGCCCGCTGGCACAATCATTCATCTCCCAAGTCTTAACTTAGCAAAACATTGACTCCTAGATTGAATTCCATTTATCCCCAAATAGGAAAGGCCATGCTTAAAAAAAAACCCAGTAAGTGAGAATTACACTTCACTCAAAGTCGCCGTGGTGAGACTTCCTGATTGCGTCTTAAGGATTCTGCTTCAAAAACCAGAACTCTGATCACGTGTCTAGAAGCGTGTTCGTTCTGTAAAGCACGGGCCACCCGCGCACCTGTCCCCAGAACCCTCAGCAGAGGGACATGTCCAAGTGCTCAGGATTAGAAAGTGACCTTCCACTGAAGTGAGCGCCACTCCGTTACTTCCGGCTTGGCTTCTCCCCGGGAAACTCACAGCTGTAACCCTCCACTGTGGTCTCTGGAATCTTCCAACCCAGGACGCCATAATGAATTCCCAAGCCGTGAGGCAGGTGTGGCCACTGCCTGTCTTGGGACTCTGGGGGCCACTGGGGGTGGGGGACGATGACCAAGGGGCCAGAGCTGGGCTGGTGTGGTGCCACCCAGAGCCCAGGGCTGGAGAGCTGCCCTGACACCCAGCCCTGCTCCCCAAGGGCCAGAATGGCAGAATTCTGTGGCCGAGGCGGGGACTGGTGTAGCGTCACAATTAAGAAGTGATGTCGAGAGAGTAAGGTGAGCACAAAGTAGGGCAGGGTAGGTAGTGGCAGTTTCCAGCTGTGTCACTTGCCAGAGAGGTGATCTTGGGTGGGTTGCCTCTCTGTGCCTCAGTTTCTTCACTTGCAGGGGCGTGATAATAGTAACTGCCTCACAGGTTGCTACAAGACTGAGAGTCCGGTATTTGTAAGGCAGCTAGCTCATAATATGTAAGTAATCCTTCAAGGAACGGATGAATGAACACCTGCACAAGGCTCACTGTATAGGTGAGCTCCACACCAACTCAGGGATCAACTCTGTTTTGCTCTCTACTAAATATACAGCCATTAGTCCAGTGCCTGATAAACAGTGGGTGTTTGTTGAGTGAATAAATGACCCCAAGGCATAGTCTAAAGACCCAGGGTGTGGGATGCGGAAGTGATTTCAAACAAGGCCTGTTTACAAAACAGTGGTGAGCAAGTGGTTTCATGAACACCTAGCAGAGCTGGCAGGGGCTGTGAGGGTCTGATTAGAAGTTAGGGTCTGTTTTAGGGGTTGTTTTGTTGTCCATGGTGCTGGGATAGAACCCAGGGCCTTGAGTATGCCAGGCAAGCGCCCTGCCGCAGAGCTCCACCCCAGCTCCTAATTTATATTTTCCAGAAGGCTCTGGTTTCTGTGTGGAGTTAGGTGGTTATGGGGAGGAGGGGCAGGCTGAGCTGGTGGTGGCTCTGAAGCAAATTTTAGAGGCTGAGAGCTACGGTTTGACTGCCCCTCCCCCCAAAGTTCATCTGTGGGAATCTTAACCCTCAAATATCATGACGGTATTTGGAGGCCAGGATTTGGGGAGGCTAATTTGGGAATTAGATGAGATCATGAGGGTGAGGCCCTGTGATGGTCTGAGTGGCTTTAGAAGAGGAAGAAACCCGAACTGGCTCTCTGCTCCGGGTCGCCATGGGTGTCCCCACCTTGTTGGCGTCAGCACGAGCCCTGGCATTAACAGGGGCCCAGGAGAGGGTCAGCACCCTCTTTGGGCTTCCCAGCCTTCAAATTTGAGCTAAATCAACTTCTCTTCTTTATAAATTACCCAGTCTCCGGTATTGTGTTGCAGCAACAGAAAAGAGGACAGGACTTGCTGATGGCTGAACATGGTGGCAAGGACTTCTTAGGATTGAGGACAGCCTCCAGGGTTCCGTGAGAGCAACTGGGCAGGTGATGGCGCCATTTGCTAAGATGAAGAAAGTGGAGGGTGGGTGGAATCCTCTGGGGCCATTTTAGCTGGGAAAGCTCATTTTCTGTCTGGGCAGAGATGTCAAGTGAGCTGTGGAGCGTACGAACCAGAGGTGGTCCAAGTGTGAGTCACCAACACAGGGACAATCACAGCTCTGCGCGCCTGGAAGAGATGCCTTGGGGAGACTGGGAGGAGGGACCTGGACAGAGCCCGGGGTCAGCAACCTCTAGTGCTTGGCAGGCTGGAGGGGCCAGCCAAGAAGCTGCGGGGAGGCCAAGGAGGGGCAGGAAAACCGCGGGGACAGGGGAGGGAGGG